TGTGCCAAGTCTACTCAGGCAGGTATGGGTGCTTTATACCAGATGCAGGGAAGGAGCTCACTCACAGTGATGAGCCCTCCCCCCAGAGTAAAGGGATTGAGAAAGAGAAACTCAGTGACTCAGTGTTCCTTTGAGGCACAACAGAGGCCTTTGTTGGCCCAGAGCCCTAGCACATTAGAAATCCTAATAGAATCTCTCATTTGTCTGTCTGCTGTGCTGGGGCCTATTGCAGGAGGAAAATGTTCAGATTAGGATCTCCTATTTAGTGGAAATTACAGACGCTTCTTTTGAAAGATGGCAAAGAGCACCTTATTTGAGTTTGGAATGCTAATCCCATTTGGTTTCCACGTACTTTGCATTGCTAATCAGAGGCTGACGGGGGACTGCAGATCTGCTTGCCCCTTTCTGTGGTTCTACATGCTGGGATATGAGCTATACCCGGATGAATGATGGGGAAAAAAAAGACCTCTGGGAGTTTCTGGGGCAGAAAGGGAAGATATGGACAGTCCCAGTCACAACTATGAAGTAGATCATGAATCTGTACATTCACAGAACATAGGATGTCATGGCATGTCATTTCTACCTTCACAACATCTCTCGCCTCAATATTTATGCGTCCCTTTCTCTCCACTCAGAGAGCCATGGGGGCTATTACAGAAGGCTTCTGGGGCAGCTAAGTGGTGCAGTGGATAGAGCACCAGCCCTGGATTCAGAAGGACCTGACTTCAAATCTGGCCTTGGACACATAACACTTACTAGCTGTGTGACCCTGGGCAAGTCACTTAACCCCTTTGCCTAACCAAATAAAAAACAAAACAAAAAACCAGAAGGTTTCTAAGTGGTCTCTCTGATTCACCTCATGTCCCTTCTCTTTTCAATCCTGGACTACTATAATAGCCTGGTGGGTCTGCCTGTCAAAAGTCTCACCCCCTTCCAGTCTATTTTACATTTAACTGCCAAATCAACTTTTCTATCCTTCCCCTTTACTCAATAAATTACAAAAATTCCCTATTACCTCCCGGATCAAATATAAAATGCTCTGTTTGGTATTTAAAGTTCTTCACAATCTGACTTTTTCCTACCTTTCCAGTCTTCTTACACTTCACTCACCTCTGTGTATTCTACTATCTTCCTACTTACACATGACAATCTATTTCCCATATACATACCTTTACACTGGCTCTGCCCTGTGCCAGTGATGCTTTTCCTCTTCATCTTAATTTCTCTGAGCTCTTCAAGACTCATACCAAATCTCAGCTTTGGCAGGAGGCCTTTCCCAGCTTTTTCATCTCCTAGTGCTTCAAAATTGAGAATACTTCCCATCTCTTCTGTAGATATCTTTCCATGTATATTACTTTTCCATTTATGTTGAATAAATAGCTATTTAAAGGTTGTCTCTCCAATTAGAATATGAGGTCCTTGAGAGTAGGGGATGTTTTTTAATCTTACTTTGAATCCCCAGCACATAGGTCAATGCTCAGCACATAGTAAGCAATTATTAAATGCTTGATGACTGACCATTTAGCCCAATTCCTGCCCTCCCTTTTTTTAAAGATAAGGAAGCTAAAGTAAGACATTTCCATTGTCCACCTATCCCAGACATCTTGGTACTCATTACTTTTATTCTGCTCCTAGAACATTCACCCACTGAGGTAGAAGATAGCCTTCTCCAAGAATTCCCTCTCTACATAATATATCATGTTTTGAATCTTTTCCTTCACTTATCCACTATCATCCCTATACAGATGACTCCCAGATATATGCATCTAGCCATTGTCTCTTTTCTGAATTCTACTCCAATATCACCAATCACCTATTAGACATCTTCAATTGAATGTCCCATGGGAATCTCAAGCTCAATACAGCTAAAACGGAACCCTTTATCTTTCCTCAGTTTCTCATGTGTAAAGTAAGGGATTACTTACTTTACACATGTCAAAGATGTCTTCTAATGTCTCTTTTGACTCCAAATCTATAATCCTATGATTCCCTCAGAGCCTTCCTTCTTCCTAACTCCCCTACCTTTGTTGAGGATGGCATCTTTATTTCAGTCACTCAGGGTCACAACCTTGGATTTATCATCAACTTTTCCCTCTTCCCCAGCCCACATCTCCAATCAGTTGCCAAACCTTTTGAGTTCCCTTCTCGCATTTAACTCACACCACAGTCACCCTCGTTTGGGCCCTTATCACTCCTTGTCAGGAAAAAGACAATAACTTCCTAACTGATCTTCTTGTCTTCAATCTCTCCCCTTCTCATTCCACACTTCTTGCAACTGCCATATCTCTATTCCTAAGCATAAGTTTTACCAGCTTCCTCCTCAGATCAAAGATCTTCCTGCCTATAATATCACATATAAACTCCTACATTTGGCATTCAAACACCTTCACAGCCTAGCTTCAACCAACGTTCTTCCAGGCCTATTGAACATTATTCCCTCCACATACTCTATGTCCCAACCAAACCATCCTCCTTACTATTCCCTATACACAATGTTCCATTCCTCACTTCCACTCATTTGCAGAGGTTACCCACTACACTTGGGATGTACTCCCTCCTCCTTCTCCTCATCTTCACTTTTTAGAATCCCTAGAATTCTATCAGCTCACTTCTTGTAAGTATCACCTCCTGCAGGAAGCTTGACCTGAACCCTCCAGATGTTTATATACCCTCTCTAGAAATTGATTTCGTGTATATTTCCCATTTCTTTTCCTGTGTACATATTTTTCCCCTCCCCATAGAAATATAAACTCCTCAAAAACACAGATTATTTGATGTCTTTTTATCCATAACACATAGTAGTTGTTTAATAGAGGACTGTTGAATGGATGAATGAAAGCTATGTCCCAAACTATATTCCATATCCTCAAGGCTCTGCTTTTCTTCTGGCTGATCTGAAACAAGCAAAACAAAAAAAATGAATCCTGGCAAAGCAGACCAGTGAATGAACCTGGGTTTAAAAAATGCAATCCTTAAAATGGATTAATAAAATTTTATTATTTACATCCTGCATCACTTATCAGATTGGGATTTCCAAAAATCAAGGACTGTCTTTCTCATCAGATTAGAAAGAACAAGTCGTCATTCCAGCTCCTTTTGCAGTGATGAGAAGCTCACTACCCCCTTAGGTAATCAATTTTACTTTGGTTGTTCTAATTGCCAGCTAGTCTTTCTTCACACTAAGATGATTCCAGTTTTGTGGGGTGGAGTGAATGAGGAGGAAGGCAGTTTTAATGATCCTTCCCATGGCTATGACCTCATGCCATTCCTCTATGCTTTCCAGATTCAGCCCCTCCAAGAAGTAAGCTACTTATTTGGTGGCCTCCAGACTCCAGCTCCACTCCCACACCCTATTCAGAATTAGCTCCCTGGCATATCCCAGATCAGAGTGGAATGTGGCAGTATGTGACAGAAAGACCAACTATTGTTGGTCAAGGGTCAGGTACTTTGGGACCTGTTCTGTTCTTTCTCCAATCCATTGGTTCATCCTTGCTGCTTTCCTCCTAGTTACAAGAGCCGCAATCCATCTTCAGAGGCAGTTTATGTTTGTGTTAGCGAGAATCAAATATGGCAAAATGGCAAGAAAAGTGCTTGCATGGAGCTTTTAAGCAAAACTCAATTAAAATGGGGAATTGGACGTGAAAATGAGATGCTTTACTCACTCCCATACTCACACACATTCTTTCCAATGCTGGAGAGATTGGACATTTACTAATACGTTCCAGCAGAGAGTATATGTGAGTCCTTCTGCTTGGAGAGGATGCTCAGGATACCAACCCTATGGGCATATAATCACATCTATGACTGTAGTGGCTAATATGAAACCAGAAGCTATTTTTGTCTTGCACATACAGATCACTCCTAAGCTTTCAAGCACAGTTTACTCTTTGAAGGTCTTTGTACAGTTTGCAAAGCCTGTTATTATTTGAAGAATCATCACTTTTTCTGTTAACATTCATAAAGCCAATTTGCCATTTGTAAAACCTACTTCAGTTTGCAAAGCTTGTGACAATTTATGCTACTATTTGCAAAACCAGTCAATGTCTGATTTACTATTTGGAAGACCAGACACTGTTTGTATTGGTTTTCACAAAGCCTGCCACTATTTATATGACTATTTACAGAGCCTTTAGCTGTTAGTGTTATTGTTTTCCATTTTTCACTGTTTGCAGAGCTAGTTGCTCTATTATGTCTGCAGACCTAGCAGTGTCTGTCACTGTATTATTGCTTACAGAACCAGCCATTATTTGTATAAGTGTTTGCAGAGTTTTCTCTGTTTACAGAAATTAGAGCTATGGGTGACTATGCTTTAGCATTTCATAAAATGATGGATGCCCCTTTCCAGGCAAACCACTACTCAAAGTACGTACTCACATTGTTTTAGTTTTCAGGGCCTGATATTTTTTAGGCTTTTTTCCCATGACTTACAAGTCTGTGACCACTTGAATGCATATACACATTAATGCGGGTATACTCATGAATGCACATGCCACGTAGTGTCATAGATCTAGAGAGCGAAGAGACCTCAGAAGCCAGCCAGTGCAGCCCCCCTGTCTTCTAGATCAGGAAACTCAGGATAAAAGAGTTTAGGTGAAATCAGACAGGTAGTAAGTACCACAAATGGGACCTGAACCCACTTCCTCTGACTTTAGAGTGAATGATCTTTACCTTTACTTGCAGAATCATACACACTCTTAACTACTTCCATGAGATCTTGCTAAATTATCTGTAAAGAAGGGTTTATTCTTCCCCTTCTCCAACATCTAGAATTTCGAATCCCTCCATCTCAGAAACACCTTCCCTCTGCAATCATTCCATGATACAAATCCCACAATGCCCGTTTAAACCTCGGTTCCATGTTTTCGCTTTGTGTAGCTGACGTGTGTCTCTGCATTTCAGAATAGGAGTTCCCAGGGAGCAGAAACTGCCACCCAGAGCAAGACATCAGTGGCTATAGTAGGAAAGGAGTTAGAGGGGAGGAAGCAAAAACAACCTGACTATTCCACCCCCTGTCCTTGGCAAACTGTGTCCAAAAGACTAGCCTAACATCTCCAAGAAGTGACCTGATGGCTCTGGGGGAAAGTGGAAGCAATCCTCTCCTCCTTACTTCCCCCAGCACCCCTCAGGGGCATCTACCCAGCTGCGTCTCCCTGTGGCCAATCTCTGTTCTCTGCCAGAGGTGCAGACCCTGAACTTGCTGCCGGCCACCCCCAGAGGAGGCAGAGTTCTTTCCCTTGTTGATCCGAACAAACAGTGTTCCGAAGTGTTTGCGATGTACTGAAACTCAAGCAATTCTTTTCTCATTTTCAAGGTCAGCATTGAAAGCAGCGTCTGTGTATGTGGTGTGGTGGGGCGGGGAGGGGCGTGTGCGACTGGGCAAGAAGGGGGTGGGGGCGCTCTGTCTTCTCCACTGCCCGCATCTCCTGGCCCTATTCCTCCACGTCCCCATCAGCACCGTCTCCTCCAACTGGCTCTGTTGTCTGCCGAGGAATCCGTTTCAAAGCATGAACGGTACGAAGGTCATTGTATAACTCCATAAATAACCACTATATTGAGCACGGGAGAAGTGAGTGGAACCCGGCAAAGCAGGAAGAGATAGGGGTGATAGGTACCAAGAGGCTGGAGCTTCTCTCCTAGTGCCCCAGGGCCTGGGCTCCCTCCAGAAAAGGGATTGATGTTAATCTCAGTATACTCTTCAACATCTTCCTCCCACTTACCTCGCGCGATGGAGATATCCCAAAACTTCTCCCTTCCCCCCACCCAGGAGGAATAGGGGGGTGGGGGGAAAGAGAAGAAAGCTACTAAGCTAGTGCGGCCGATTTAGAGCAAAAAGGGGCCCGGCCGAGTGGGAAAGCAGCCACTTTGGAGAGGTTTTCTGCCGACGCAGAGATGGATGCCTGGGAATCGATCCTCTCTGAAGATGAATTGCTGTGCGTTGCACAAAGAAAACCCCTTTGGTTTGAACAGGCAGATAATGTTCCTGACGGGCCCCGGTCCATGTCAATTTGTTGTGATTGGTGTGGCAGAGACGGAGAGACTGAGGGAGAGAGACAAAGAGTTACAAAAGAAAGAAGCAGAGAGCCAGAGGGAGAGAGAAACAGACACACACACACACACACACACACAAAAACATAGAGAGTCAGAGATTTAGAGAGAGAATGAAGCAGAGACGGATGGACAGAAATAAATAAGGAAACAAAAAAGACAGCCGGAGAGAATGAGAGAAACTTAAAGACATGTAGAAAGAATTGGATTGTTTTATCTCACACTTCAATAGAGGTTAGGGATTCCTGTTCTAAGGTATTTTGAACATCAGTGGCTAATGTTAGTCTAGCTAGTACTGAAATTAGCAATGTATTTTAGATACTCATAGGATCAAAGGGTCATAGATTAGAGGTGGAAAGGGCTTCAGAGCCTGTCCAGGCTCCCTCACTGTGCTTAGTTGTTTCAGTTTTGTCCAACTCATCCAGATCCCATTTAGGGTTTTGTTTGTTTGTTTGTCTGTTTGTTTGTGGCAAAGATACTGGAGTGGTTTGCCATTTCCTTCTCTGACTCGTTTTACAGATGAGGAAACTGAGGCAAACAAGTCAAGTGAGTTCCCTGGGATCATACAGCTAGTAAGTGTCTGGGGACAGATTTGAACTCAGGTCCTCCTAACTCTAAGGCTGGCACTATATCCACGGAGCCACCTAGCTGCCCTCTCTCATTTTAGATATGAGAAAACTGAGTCCTCGTATTTTGCTCAAGGCAACACAGGTATTAAGTGGCAGAGCTAGCTCGACATCATAGAATATTAGAGCTTGAGATTACCTGTGGGTAGGGAGGCAACTTGATTCCTGTGAAAAGAGCGCTGGATTATGAAACCATTTTAGACAGGACCTTTGTGCAAATCTTTGCTCTGATACTTAGTGGCTTTGTGACCTCAGGCTTATCTTTTTGTTTCTTTACATTTCAGTTACCTATTTGGATCATCAGTTTAGAGCTAGAAGGTAAGATATGGGACATCTAGTCCAACCTCCTCATGCTACAGATGAGGAAAGTAGTGAGCCTTGGAAATTTGTAAAGAAATTTGTCCAACATCATACAGCTGGGAAGAGGCAGTCAGGATTCAAATGCAGGTTTTCCAACTCTAAACCTAGTGTTCTTTCCTATATACTACACTTGGTGAGGTGAGAAAGTGAGCAGTTTCTGCTGGGCCAGAGCACACAAACTTCCAGATAGGGTGAGAGAGACACCTGGGGCTGAAATCCTGAGATAGGGAGGCAGATCTGAGATTCAAATAGGGAAGAGTCATTTCTTATTGGGAGTTTGGAAGGGGGTGAAAGGACTGATTTAAGCCTTGGCCAGTGGGTGGATGGAAGGGATCTGAGATGAGCAATCTGGGTATTGTTAGAAGTCCTGTGTAGACATGGACTCCTTCAGGCCATAGTGAAGACTGAGAAAACAGATCCCCAAAATCTGGAAAAGTATGTCTGGTCAACCAATTTTATAGCCCTGCGCCTAGAACAGGATTAATATAAAAACTCAGAGAACAACAGGCAGGAAAGAACTAATAACAATGGGTAAATATCCTGCTTCTGATAGGGGTTTAGCATTAATCTTCATCCGTAAAGCCTTTCTTGACATATCTCTCTTACACCCAAACTGAAAGTAACACTTACTCAAATTTTTCCTAATATCTACCCTAGACCTTCCCTTTATACTTATTTTAGTCTCCCTTGTATCATAGTTACTTTTAAAATGTTTTTCTTTTTATTATTTACATTTTCCTTTTTTAATTATTATGTAATATTTATTGTTTATTATTTTATAATATATTATGTTAATTTATGTATTATTATTATATTTCAATACATAAGGGGAAAAAGGATTGTACATAAAATTAGAAATTTCTATTATGTCCAGTTTGTTTTTCCCCACTGCACAGAACTGGCTTTTTAAAAAAATAATTCAAATTTAACAAGTGAATTTGAATACTTCCTTGCTTGTCAGTGTGTTTCTGTTGTTCATCTTTAGTTTTTGAAGAGGACAAATAACATCATGGGGTGGTCTTACCTTGAGAGTGAGCTGGATTTAAGCAAAGCAGAGCTGCACAAAGTCATCAGAGTCATCAAAGTCCCATGGCAAGACAAGTCAGGATGACTGGGAATGTCCTGGGATGCATTGGAAGACCTTGGCATTTTCAGTGTCTCATCAAACTCTAATGGCTCCACAGTACCTGCTTCAGCCACCTTCATGGCTATTGGAACAAATTGTTCTCATCCATCCATTCCACCAGGGGAAGTGTTCACATGCTCGGGGTAGACATCTCGCTAACTCACTGATGGGTTTGAGGCCTTTTAGTCAACCTCATCCTGGTTTAGCCTGTCTGCTGAGGTGACTTACTGGGGTGTGACTGAGGTGTGTGCTGCAGCTTCGTGGAACCACAGGTGTGAGTTAGCTAAAGATAGACACCAAAGGTGGATGACAAGCCATGAAAAGGGCTCAGCAATTCCAGAAGTACTAGTCCTCACTGAATATCTCATACAGATAAGAAATAGAGGCAATCATACAATATAAAACGGATAGTGCTGATTATATGGAATTGAAAAGCGTCCGCACTAGCAAAATCAATGCAACTTGGACAAGAAGAGAAGTTGCTAATTAAGGGGAAAACCTTTTAATAAGATATATCTCTGATAAGGTTTGATATTCACAATATATAGAGCTAATGTACATACATACACATATGCACCTGCATATATGCATGTGTGTAGATACATACACATACATGTACACACACATAATATACATATATATGTATATACATGACTAAGAGTTCTTACCCAATGTATAAGTGCTGAAAGTATATGATCAAACAGTTCTCATGAAAGAACTAAAACTATTAACTAGGTAAAGACTATTCCCAAGTACACACTTTTTTAGGTCACACTTACTCTTAGTAAATTGACAATATGACAAAAGATGGGGAATAGCTAATGTTTGGGGTTGTTGATATAGCATGTCCTAAAAAGTCTTAGCATAATTTTAAGCTTTAATATTTTAGATAGCCACATTAAAGTAGTATAGCCTCAATATTATACTGGAAGTGTAGAAATTAATTGATTCAACCATTCTGGGAAACAATTTTTTATTATGTTAAAAAAAAAGTGACTACAATGTCTACACTTTTTTACTAGAATGCCCTAAATTATAAATTTCTTGAAGGAAAGGACTGTGTTATATTAATCTTTGCATCCCCATTGGGTAATGTCTTGTTTATGGTAATAGATGCTTGAGGTTGAATTGGAATGGGATGGAATTTAAAATACAAGAACTTTTATAAACCAGGAACTGTTAACCTCTTCATCTATCATTGTAACCTCCCACATTAGTCAGTGTTCCCTGGAGGGCTTCATAATAAATCCTTTTTAAATACCTAAAATCTTAGTTTTCTCTTCTAGAGTAGTAGGAAAAGGAGTGGGGCAAAGGAAAACCTGTGGTAGTCATCATACAGGGAACCTAAGCTTTGGAGAATCACACTCCCCTCCTGAATTAAGAAAGGACCCTCAGGAGATGAGAGACCAGAGAGAAGTTTAAAATGCAGAGAATGTGATAGTTACTCAATACCTGAGCTGAATCCTGAGGAAAAATAAAAACAAAAATGTGTGATCCCTTGTGCACCAAGACATCACAAAGCCTTATATCCTTATTCTTGAGCTGCTTCCTTACTTCTCTTTTCTTCCCATAATATCCTCTTCTCTCCTCCCACCCCTTTCCCTCTGCTCTTCTCATCTTTTCCACCTCTCCTTTCCTCTCAGATAGTTGTATGGGCTTTAGGTTAAGAACAACATAAAATGAGCTAACTAGGTAGTGCTCTTTTTTTTTGCAACACAGAAGATTTTATTAATTTCATGTAGTTAAATATAATACATACATATACATGTATTAAGAGAAATTCTTTTCTGTACTATGCATTTTAGGCATATGCTTTCCAGAAACGTTTTTTTAAATCAACTTAAGGTTATTCTAATTTAAGCATTTTTTTAAACTTTGAGAGAGAAATATACAAACTAATAAAGCATCCTTATGCTCTTGGACACCCCTCTAACTCAAGTCACTTTGCAGTTTCATTTCACAGAATTTTCATGCCAAGTATATTTCATACTCAAGACTGGGCAAAGATCCCGAGTTAAGGTAAGAGTTTAGTTAACAGTTTGTTTCATCACAAAGAACAATAGTCACATACTTTGGACATACTCATTCACTCTCTTTTACTACTCCCTTCAAAGATCCTCCTCTCCAGCTGATTAAAGTTGAAACCAAGAGAAATTTACATTCACTGACTTAATCAGATACTTTTTTTCCCTTCTGATCGTTATTACCCTAACCCCTTTAGGGAATGAAGAAAGTAAATGACTCTAACTAGACTAGACATATTTCCCTTTGAAAGACGGGTTAATGCATTTTCAGGAACCCCAGTTTTCATTTTTGACCTTTTACATACTTTCCTTAAGAAAGGGAGTTAGGCTTTAGATTAAGATAATTTTGAAATGTTTTCTTAATATTTCTAACAATGAGAGTAAAGGAGTTGGTGGGGGAAGTGGGGAGAAGTTGCCCTATTTCTACATATATGTGTCTATATACATTTGTTGTTCAGTTATTTTCAGTCGTGTCCAGTTTTTTATGACCCCATTTGGGGTTTTCTTGGAAAAACACTGGAGTGGTTTGCTATTTCCTTCTCCAACTCATTTTATGGTTGAAGAAACTGAGGGAAACATTTAAGTCACTGGCCCAGAGTCACATAGCCAATATGTGTCTGAGAATGGATTTGAACTCAATAAGATAAGTCCTTCTGACTCTATCTCGGGCAGTCTATGCATTGTTCCACCTAGCTGCCCACATGGACATATACTTATACATATATATGCATGTGTATTATACACTCATGCATGTATTGTGTATATGAGAGAAAGGAGCCAAGAAGATCTGTGTTGAAGTCTTGCCTCTGACATATATTAGCTGTTTGACTCTCTCAGTGTTCTAGTGCCAACACTGGTAGAAGGAGTTTCTTCATCTGAGAGTTCCCCATATCAATGGAATAATAGATCCAGTCCAGACCCCTACACATACCCACATTCACACACACATACATACACGCACTTATATTATGAAATGCTACATAGCATATAGAAAGCCAGATTCAGGAATCAGAAACACTTGGGTTCCAAGTCTCTCCTCTGACACTAGACTGGATACCAGCCATGTGACCTGGGGCAGGCCACTTAAATTTCTGCCCAAGCAACCTTCTAAAACTAAATTTCAGAGAAAGTGTTCATTTGTGTGCACTGGTGTTCACATGCACAGGCATGTACACACTCACACACACACAAATACACACACACTGACTGAGAGGTATAACATGATGTCACTGACACAGGGCTGGATTTGGAGTACAGACCTGGATTCAAGCTTCTGACACATACTAGTGGTGTGACCATAAGCCAGTTGCTTATTTTATCTGAGCCTCAGATAACTCCCTAACATTGTCCACTAAATTATAGGTGGGTTGCAATCTTCATTGGTGGAAGGAGTGTCCACACTGACAAAATCACAGAGCCATAATATATGAAGACAGATGGGATAGTCAAAGTAGACTTTAATGAACAACATTGTCTGCTCTCCTATCAATCCACCATTTGGACTGATTCCCAAAGTGGCTGTGTTGCCCCAGGATGTCTCTTTGGTACATAGACCAAGGCGTAAGCATTCTCCCTCTTAGTAAATACACCAAGACCCTGGCCAAGCCTCTCAGGCTTGTGCTTTGTCATGGAATTTCTAGAAGGTGACCTAGAGGGATTCTAAAGGCTCTAATTTTATGATTCTTGAAGAAAGCTTTTTTTAACATCTCAAAGAGTTTAAAATGAACTATGAGGATAAAGACTGAAGATCAGTCAACTTCACCAATATCTAAGTGGCCTCATCTCCATCAATTGTCAGTCTTATAGCCCAGAGGCTCTCTGAGCCCTCACAATCCCAAGAATTATAATTCAAAATAGAATTATAGGACTAAAGGACTTAAAGAGATCTCAGAGGTCACCTTCATCTTAATCCTATCTCCTCATTTTACAGATAAGGAAACTGAGATCCCAAAACTTCCCAGGATGGTATAGCTTATAAGTGGCACAGCTCAGATGCTAAACTTCACCTCCAAATCTGGTACTCTCTACTCTGCATTGTCCTGCTTCCCAAGAGAGATGAGATGAATCTTTCAAGAATCTGTTAGTCTTAAAACACACTACTGGATCTGGAAATGAGCCTAGGGGAGATTTAATTCAAACTCCTCATTTTCCAAATCAGGCAAACTGAGTCCTAGTGAATTGAAGTAATATTTTGTTCAGTCATTTTTCAGTCACATCCAATTCTTCATGACTTCATTTTGGGGTTTTCTTGGCAAAGATATAGGAGTGGTTTGCCATTTCTGTCTCCAGATCATTCCACAGATTGAGGAATTGAAGCAAACAGAATTAAGTGATTTGCCCAGCATCACACAGCTAGTAAGTATCTGAGGCCTTCTGACTTCAAGCCCAGCATTCTATCCACTAAGCCACCTAGCTTCTCTATGAAAGTGATTTAGATATACATTCTGCTTCTCTGTCTCAGCCAATAGCATTCTCCTCTAAGAGCCCAAGTCATTGACAAATCCTTTTTGGCTGTTGAATTCTTTCCTGAACACTGTTTAAAACCAGCTCAAATGCCATCTCTTCCAAGAAGCCCTTGACTGATGCCTTTCTTATCATGCAGTATAGTTCCTAACTTGTAACATTATACATCACATTTCACCTGTGTATGTATAAGTTCTCTAAGGACAGGAGTTGTGACATCCATATACATTGCATTTTTCCTAGTGCCTAACATAGTGCTTTTCACAGAGTGAACACTGTGCTCCCTGCCATGGACCTGTGATTTCCTCAATTCCAATAAAGAACCAGCTCTGCCAATGAAAATCAGCATCTTTGCAACTTCTGATCTTCTCAAGTTGCTTGGGGGGTACTTAAGTGACTTGCTCAGAGTCACACACTAAGGAGGGACTTAAACCCAGGTCTTTTCTGACTCCAACGACAGGTCTCTGTCCACTACCCCAAGTATCTCTATGGTAAATATTTAAGTGCCTGCTGACCTGAATTGGGCTGTGTCCAGAGGCTCAGGTCAGGGCTCTTCTCTCCCTATTCCCTTCCTTCCACCAGGGAGCAAGATGAGTGCAAGATCACCCTCTAGGGCAATGCTGTTGGGGATGGAGGCCCACTTCTCAGCATTGTTCACAGAAGGAAATATAAGAGGCCAGATAGACCCAGATGATGCTGGGCTACAGACTGATGGCTTGCTGACTCTGGTAGGAATGTGGGCTATAAATAAGAAATACATGAATCAATATTCATATTATTATAAAGGCTGGTGTTTATGGCCCATGGAGAGAGAATGTAAGCATTTATCGTAGGGGTAGGAGGGGGAAACCACTGTTATCTCCACCTTTGTGAATCATAAGCCCCTTTTAAAGGGTCCTAGAAACCTAGACACTCTGGGGCACATCAGTATAAAGATATTGTGAATACAAGCACATACATAGGATTTAGATCTACAAGGGATCTTAGAATTCAGCTGGGTGATACAGTGGATAGAGCACTGGCCCTCCAGTCAGGAGGACCTGAGTTCAAATCCAGCTGTGTGACCTTGGGCAAGTCACTTAACCCAATTGGTTCCAAAAATAAAGTCATCTAATTCAGCTACATCATTTTACAAATGGGGAAACTAAGGCCTAGTCACAGCCACATTTATTCATCTCTCATTCATGTCAATGGGACTTACACCTAGAGCACAAGAGCATAGGTCCAAATCCCACAGCTGCTACTAACTTGTTGTTTAACTTTGATAAAATCATTTCTATTCTCCAGGACTTGATTTCTTCCATCACTAAAATGACGGGGTTGAACTAAATGACCTTTAAGCTTCCTCCTAGATTCAATAGTGTGTCCTATGATTAGCATGTTCTAGAATGGGTCATCTCATCCTTCCCCTGGGAGGCAGGACAATGCCATGGAAAAAGCACTAGATTTGGAGATAAAATACCCAAGTTCAGCATCTGAGCTCTGCCACTGACTAACTGTGTAATCCCAGGCAGGTCATGTACCCTTTTTGGTTCTCAGTTTCTTCATCTGTAAAATGAGGAGATTGAATCAGATGATTTCTGAAGTCCCATTGATCTCTAAATCTATGGTCCTATAATTCTATTGTCCCTCTGCTTCTAGGCATCACTAATTCAAA